CCTTTACTTTGGGTGCATGAATTGTTCTTTTATGACATGCCTATGCATATGAAGAGAGTTAGACTTCGTCATTACATGATAAATGTTACTTTGTGCTCACTAATAAATTACAAATCATTGTTAATTAAAATTGGCTTTGATATACCTTGGGATCCGGGTGGATTCATTACTTGAGCACTATATGTCTAGCTTAATGGCTTTAAAGAAAGCGCTGCCAGGGAGACAACCCAGAAGTTTTAGAGAGTCATTTATTTCTGTTGACTGCTTTCATATAGTTAAAAAAATAAAAATAAAGAGGGGAACCCAAAACTTTTTCAAAAAGGAAAGTGAAAGTGAGAAAGACAAGCATGGTTGAAGTGGGGAGCTCCTTGAACTTTTTTCATGCTCACGGAAACTTTGTGAATCTTCATTACAGAAATTTTTCAACAAAAATAATTATCCCCTTGTAAAATTCCATTGTATTATAAAAATAATGAGACAAGGTTTCCCTTTAGGATGTTTTAGATTACTTGTTGGTTTGTGCGGTGCAGGACAGAAACTTCAGCTGTAGTGCGAGATGTTACATTTCTTACTGGAACGTCAAACGGTTCTAAAACTTTTTGCACTGTCTTTATATACAAATTGTTTATTTTTCTAATTTTGGCGGAATTTTTGGAGTAGCAGAACTATGGTGAATGTTCAGATTATTACAGACTATTATGTTTTAGACAGATTCTGTTTTTGATGCATAGTTTTCTTGTTTTGATGAAAATATCGATTTATATCAGTGGATTAAGCCATGTAAAAGTTATATTACAGTAGCTACAATGCAAAAACAAAATATGAATTGGTTTTCAACAGTAGTTAGAGTAGTGATTTGCTTTATTATACTAACGGATCTTACCGAGTTTTCTGTTGAGTTTTGTGTGGATGAAGTGTTCAAAGATCGAGGATGTCTTGATGTGAGGAGAAGAAGGAGAGGCAAGAGCTCAAGCTTGGGGATGCCCTGGAAGGCATCCCATCTTTCTTCAACAAGTATCGGTATGTTTTCGGATTCGTTTCGTTCTTGCAATATGTGCAAATCTTGGAGCGTCTTTTGCATTTAGTTTTCATTTTTCTTTTATGCACCATGCTGGTATGAGATAGTCCTAGGTTGATTTATAGAATGCTCTTTGCACTTCACTAAAATCTTTTGAGTATGGCTTTATAGAATGCTTCATGTGCTTCGCTTATATCATTTGAAGTTTGGATTTCCTGTTTCTCTTCACATAGAAAACCGCCATTTGTAGAATGCTCTTTTGCTTCACTTATATTTGTTAGAGAGTGGGCATATCTTTTGTAGAAAGAATTAAACTCTCTTGCTTCACTTATATCTATTTAGAGAGTTGACAGGAATTGGTCATTCACATGGTTAGTCATAAAATCCTACATAAAACTTGTAGATCACTAAATATGATATGTTTGATTCCTTGCGATAGTTTTGTGATATAAAGGTGGTGATATTGGAGTCGTGCTAGTTGAGTAATTGTGAAATTGAGAAATACTTGTGTTGAGGTTTGCAAGTCCGTAGCATGCACGTATGGTGAACCGTTATGTAACGAAGTTGGAGCATGAGGTATTTATTAATTGTCTTCCTTATGAGTGGCGGTCGGGGACGAGCGATGGTCTTTTCTTACCAATCTATCCCCTAGGGGCTGCTACCTCTTGAGCACTGCGTTGGTTTCCCTTGAAGAGGAAAGGGTGCTGCAGCAAAGTAGCGTAAGTATTTTCCTCAGTTTTGAGAACCAAGGTATCAATCCAGTAGGAGATCACGCTCAAGTCCCACACACCTACACAAACAAATAAGAACCTCGCAACCAACGCAATAAAGGGGTTGTCAAGCCCTTCACGGCCACTTACGAGAGTGAGGTCTGATAGATATGATAAGATAATATTTTTGGTATTTTTATAATAAAGATGCAAAGTAAAATAAATGGCAAAGGAAATAACTAAGTGTTGGAAGATTAATATGATGGAAGATAGACCCGGGGGCCATAGGTTTCACTAGTGGCTTCTCTCAAGAGCATAAGTATTGCGGTGGGTAAACGAATTACTGTCGAGCAATTGATGGAATTGAGCATAGTTATGAGAATATCTAGGTATGATCATGTATATAAGCATCACGTCCGAGACAAGTAGACCGAAACGATTCTGCATCTACTACTATTACTCCACACATCGATAGCTATCCAGCATGCATCTAGAGTATTAAGTTCATAAGAACAGAGTAATGCTTTAAGGAAGATGACATAATGTAGAGGGATAAACTCATGCAATATGATATAAACCCCATCTTTTTATCCTCGATGGCAACAATACAATACGTGCCTTGCTGCCCCTGCTGTCACTGGGAAAGGACACCACAAGATTGAACCCAAAGCTAAGCACTTCTCCCATTGCAAGAAAGATCAATCTAGTAGGCCAAACGAAACTGATAATTCGAAGAGACTTGCAAAGATAAACCAATCATACATAAAAGAATTCAGAGGAGATTCATATATTGTTCATAGATAAAGTTGATCATAAACCCACAATTCATCGGATCTCGACAAACACACCGCAAAAGAAGATTACATCGAATAGATCTCCAAGAAGATCGAGGAGAACTTTGTATTGAGATCCAAAGAGAGAGAAGAAGCCATCTAGCTAATAACTATGGACCCGTAGGTCTGAAGTAAACTACTCACACATCACCGGAGAGGCCATGGAGTTGATGTAGAGGCCCTCCGTGATCAATACCCCCTCCGGCGGAGCTCCGGAAAAGGCCCCAAGATGGGATCTCTCAGGTACAGAAGGTTGCGGCGGTGGAATTAGGTTTTTGTGGTGCTCCTAGATGTTTGGGAGGTATGTGGATATATATAGGAGGAAGAAGTACGTCGGTGGAGCAACAGAGGGCCCACGAGGTTGGAGGGCGCGCCCAGGGGGTAGGCGCGCCCCCCTACCTCGTGCCTTCCTCCCTTGTTTCTTGACGCCCACTCCAAGTCTCCTGGATCACGTTTGTTGAGAAAATCACGTTCCTGAAGGTTTCAGTCTGTTTGGACTCTGTTTGATATTCCTTTTCTTCAAAACCCTAAAATAGGCAAAAAAAATAGCAAATTGGGCTGGTCCTCCGGTTAGTAGGTTAGTCCCAAAAATGATATAAAAGTGTAAAATAAAACTCATTAACATCCAAAATAGATAATATAATAGCATGAAGCAATCAAAAATTATAGATACGTTGGAAACATATCAAGCATCCCCAAGCTTAATTTCTGCTCGTCCTCAAGTAGGTAAATGGTAAAAGAAGAATTTTTGATGTGGAATACTTTCTAACATATTTCTCAATGTAATTTTTCTTTATTGTGGCATGAATGTTCAGCCGAAAGATTCAAGATAAAAGTTTAATATTGACATAGAAATAATAATACTTCAAGCATACTAATTAAGCAATTATGTCTTCTCAAAATAACATGGCCAAAGTAAGTTATCCCTACTATATCATATAGTCTGGCTATGCTCTATCTTCACTATAGAAAATATTTAAATCATGCACAACCCCGATGGCAAACCAAGAAATTGTTTCATACTTTTCATGCCATCTGTGGTTCCTACTCTTCTCTAGAATGGTCGACTTTAAATCTGTATTTTTACCATTTAATAATTTTCCTGATTTTTCTCACATACATATTCTTATTCCCAAAAATAAACATTTTCCATAATTTAAACTTTGGTTCCTAATTATTTTTGCTGTTAATTACAACATGTGGTCATCCCGGGAAAGTATCCAATACTCACAGCCTTCGGGTACTTCCAGTACTCCAATTTTAAAAAACATATTTTGAATGTTCTAAAAAATTTGAAAAAAATTGTGAATGTTCACAATGAATGTGACTACAAGCCCTAAAAATTTCAGATCCAAACTCGAAATGTACATTGAGAAACAAAAAAAAGAAATCCAGATCTAAATAGTGTCAATGTTGCTTTTGTCTCTTCTTTACACTATTCATGCTAGATTTCACGTTTTTGTTTCTCAATATGTGTTTCGAGTTTGGATCTGAAAATTTTATGGCTTGTAGTCACATTCGTTGTGAACATTCATAATTTTTCTCAGAATTTTTCTGAAACATTCAAAATATGTTTTTTGACATTGGAGTACCGGGAGTACCCAAGGTTTGCGAGCACCAGATACTTTCCCTGGTCATCCCTTCTTTCCGGACCATTGCATTGACTCACAGCAGCCAGCTAGCTCTGAATTCAGATTGCACTCACTCCCCTGCTGCATGTGAGCACTGCTGCTGCAGTGCTGCTCTAACAGAAATGCTTCAAGTTCAGTATGGAACGGTCAATGCAGCAACCTGACTAGTAACAAGAATGCTTACATTGCTTCAGCATCCGTCAACTCTCAGTACCACCTCCATATGTTCATTCTTGTTGGACGGGACACCAGCAAAAACAGGCCTCAGTGTTAAAATGCCTGGGTTTTCCAGGTCAACCGCGGTGTTACATTCCCAGTACGGCCTCTCTCAATATTAGCATAATCCACCATAGCTTCGAACACTTCACACCTATCTGCGGCGTAATATCATCTAAAATACCATTTGCTTCCAGCACGAGTCGTCGCAATCATCTTCCGAATGAGAAATATCATCCCGTTCTTCTTTTTTCATTTCCAGTTTGTGCCGGCACCTGCCTCTGCAACTGACTTGCGAACCGTCTACAACAAGATGTATCACTAATTCCTTGTAGACCTGCGACACAAATATATTACTTCGTGTGAGATGAAAACATATACAGGCATCGAAGCAACAAGCTGGCAAGCAATCAACATTTAGCAATGAATTTATGGCTTACGGTATCTTCGAATATTGGCAAAACAACCTTTGTGTTGGTTAGGAAAAGCTGGGAAGCACAAGTTGCTCAAAAGTTTACCAATAGAGTACTTACCTAACCGTGGCGAAAGTCAGCATCCCAGGTGTGAATCTCACAGGCTGGAGGGCAGACATGTCTGTTTCAAGCTGTCTGCGACGTGGGCGATCACACCGGCACCCGCATTGTGAAGCCACTCATTCTTAACCTGCATTGATACATACCATGTATTTTGAAGATGATGTATTCGAGCAGAAAAATGTATGTCCTCAGGGGACTCTTGGGTGTGCACATATACATACATGCATGTTGTTGTGAGCAGAGTAAGGCCACATTGATGCATGGAAGTTCACATCTACTTTCTTCCAACCCACTCTCTGCAACCCACGAATCATCTCCTCTGTTTTCGAACAAAGAATTGATTTTCATATGTACAAAAGGGAAGAAATGCAGTACATACAGGTAGCACAAAATTCCTTACCCTCCATCATCTGGTGATATTCCTGGGTATTTTCCATGTTCGGTGTACTTTGTGCAGCTTCTTTAGCTCTGGCTGCCCGCAAAGGAAAATGGGGACCGTCGGACGACACAGGCGAACAGTATTCCACATTCACAATGTACTTGTAGCCATCAACTGAACGATGCAAGGGCTGCGTACAGGAAGCAAGTAAGGAGTTACTCAAAATATGACACCCCGAACCCAGTTTAGCAGCTGCCACTAAATCGCACTGGAAGTAAGGTACCTTTCTAAGGTCCAATTCTCTCCTTATTGAGGATGTTTTCCAACCAACCATATCTGGCATCCGAGGCTCAGGAAAACAAGAAAACAGAAATATTCCCTTTGCACATATATTACAGATCAAAATCAAGAAATAATTTCATATGGAGGATACGGTCATATGAAACATTAGCATACAGAATGCGGTTCTTAAAAGCTGCTAGTGCAGATCTGTTGAGATGAAGAAACATTATTTTCTACTAGAATAAGTTAGCCTCTAAAGGATCTGTCCTCCTCACCTACATGAACTTTTTGTCCTCGTGGTCAGATGTCATTAGTAGAAGGAGAGGTGGCTTGCTAGGTTCGCCATCAGTGAGAAAGAGTTGAGCACCAGTGCGTCCGACAATGAAGGGTGCCAAAGGTGCTGCAAGTTTCTCTAGAATTGACAGCCCTTGAAGAAATGGAAGCTGATAATCGCCAAAGGGGGTAAATTTGCATGAAATCAATGCATTCTCGATATTAAAAAGCCTGAGTAATATCACTATTTTCTCAGTGAGCAATTGCTTGTATGTTTCACCAGAAGTTTACTTAGATGGCTTTGGCACCAATTAATGATATACCTGTATACCACGATGTGTTGGGTCTACCTCACAAAATCCTTAATACATTGTTAAAAATTGCTCAAGCCCCAAAACAAAGCTTTTGCTTCCAAGGCAACCAAGATTAGATGGGAAGTTAAAAAAGGTTGACAAATGTAATTTAATGTGTGTTGGACACCCACCTGATTTTTTCCTCTAACACCAAGATGTGGGGTTGCCAATGTAATAAAATTAGTTGGCTCCAACCCAGCAATGGCACCTAATCCTGAAGTGCGTGATATTTCAGATCCTCCACTTGTCAGCATGACACCAGCACCACTTCCAGTTTCTTTTGCTTGCTGTGAATATAGTATAGAAATAGCATATCTAGCAAACAAACCACCCAAAGAATGTGCTATGAAGGAAATCTTTTTCAAGCCGGCCATCTTCTGAACCACGTCCAAGACCTGCTTCCATAGGGCAATATTATGCAAGCTTCTAAGCAATCAATACATCAACAGCAGAGGACAGTCTCTACCACATACTTCTTTCGCTAACCTCCTTCCAGCTACATTGATTCCGTCAAAAGATTTGGCGTAGATGTTTGATGAACTAGCTGCAAGGAAATAGTTTGCTATTTTATGGCTAACAATTTTATGTGCTGCAGTAAAGCAGTGGATGCTAATTTCATCGCTTAACTACAATGTCCTTTCTCTATATAGATGAAGAGTTAAAATGCACACATACCATAGATGAAGAAATTATCACCAAGCCTCTTTTTCAGCACTGCTTCCCCATATGTCCAGTCACTGGGGCTATAATCAACAGAGAATGAAGAAAAACTATCAGTAAAAACCACCAATAAGTACAACTTAAACATTATTGAGTAAATTGTGCCAAATGTAAATATACCTCTATCATTTTGCAAAGCTTTTACTATTGCTTATATGGACTTTACAAATACAGGTGTGTACTTTGAGTTCTGACAGTTAAGTACAGATGTATGTCATGTGATTTACTCATCAAAGTTCACATTTACACTATGAAAAATTATGGTGCATCTCAAAATCCTGAATCGTAATGTCATACCAATCAGGCTAAAATCTAGGCCAGGTAGAAAGGAAATTTGTAGCCAGTAACAACGAAATTAAGTTCTCGAGAAAGAGATGCAGCTTATCCTATTTTTATAAACTACTGGAGTAGTAAGGTAGGACTAGGCTGTTACCTTGCCATGATACCATGAACCAGAACAATGAGATGTTCTGGTCCTTGCTTGCTTTTGGATGCTTCCACGGATGAACACGATACGGGAGAACCCCTGCCGGTGGACATTGGGTGGGAACAAAGGTATTTCGTGGTGTTCAATCCTGCATAACACAGAGTAATGTCAGAGTTTCAGCACACCTTTTCTTTTTTGACAGTAGAGTTTCGGCGAAAGACTTCACCCCCCATTAATTTGCCCCGGGCATCGGCTTCACTCGTTCAGAGAAACTGAAACGAAGTTCGCACCTTGGGTTGGATCCAAGAATCTCTGCGCTCGTGGGGAACAAACTACCGAAACGAATCCCATCAGACCAGACCACCAGTCGCTTGGGCACTTGAAGAACTACCGAATCTTAGCACCGCAGCTACGAAATGATCCGGCACACCCCACCCGCGACCCCAAATTTCGAAAATCTCTCATATTCCCCCCCGGTTCGATCCCGAACCAACGCCATAGATTTTTCTTCAACGGAGCGGTAAAGAAGCTACGGCAGGGACTTTGGTGAAACGGATCCTGGGAGTAGAACGTACCTGATGGGCCGGCGGCGCCGCTCCGGGGACGAGCGTGGCCGGGAGGGGAGGGGCGGGGGCGCAGGCGGCGGCAGAGATGTGAGCGGTCGTGGTGGCGGGGAGAGCAAAGCGTGGACGCCATCCCGCGCGCGCGTAAGCGGAAGTTATCGCCGCCGACGCTCGCGAATCGAGGGAATGCGGCGGCCGACGAGGGGCTGACGCGCGTGCGGACGACGCGGCGGTTTCGGCGCTCGGGTGGGATACGGCGTCGCCGCCGTCCGTTGGATTCGCCGCGGACGGCCGGCGGCTCAAACGGCTCTACATCCGATAACTCTCCGTCGATTATTTTATTTAACACAGTATGGACTACAGACGCGGGTGTCATCATGAGATTTTTACATAGTTGACGGAAACGTCTCCTTTCACCGAATATGTATCCAAAAATTTTAAAATAAATTCAGGATAAATGCGAGCAGCAAGATTCGAATTCTAATGGATTGGGATACCACTGTTCTCAGCATATTGTCCCACACACAGTGTAAAACCTAAGGTAGCCTGATCACAAACCAAACATCCCCATATTTTTTTCTAAGAGACCACCAATTTTATTGATTACTCGACAACATTATGCAGAGTTTCCCGAATGTAGTCCGGAACAGAAAAGAAAACACATGGACTAGCTGAATACATACAAGTTATAGCTAACAAATGAGCAACAATATTCAAATGCCGACGTACGAGCTTGAAGATCACCGAATTGAAGGCAGCGGCCGCATTTTTACTGTCAGAAACCACCGTGCCAATAGCAGAACGATCAATTCCTGAAGAATGAATTATGTGCACCAAAGATAGACAATCTGTAGCAAAGATAATATCATGTACTTGCTTTTGCAATGCCTCATGAACAGCTCGTATAAGAGTTATAGCCTCCGCCATCTTCGGCATGAGAACACCAAGAACCGGGTCACTGCAGGCCACTACAAAACGTGAGGCTAGGGGACATATCCGCGATGATGGACCTCGCGGGCGATGACGAGGGGTGGCGCGCGCAGTTGACGGAGGTGTGCGGCTGGTTCCCCAGCACGGAGATGTTGGTCAACCACGCGCATGGCCTCGTCAAAGTCCTCACCGACGCCGAAAGAAAGCGCGCCTTCCCCTACGGCCGCGGCGTCCCACCGGCTGTCCTACTCGTGTGGGCAATGCGAGAGGCCACGCTGAGCGAGTCCCCCGTTCAGCGCGCAAGGTGGTGGATGTACCGCTCCACCACCATGACGCTGCGGCCAGATTCAGCACGCGTCGCGCCGAGGGCGGACCGCGTCGACGTCGAGCTCGCTCTCCCTGCGCCCGTCAGCCCGGACTACAAGGTCCGCCACGTGTCGAAGCTAGTGCTGCCGTTGGGCTGTGACGTCGTGGAGGACGACGTGGAGGAGGTACTGGTCATCCCTGATGACCATGAGGAGGGCGAGGAGGACGCTGTGCAGATGGTAGCACCGGTCGCGTCGAGGGTGGCAAGACAATGCCCATCGACGTCGAGCTCCTTCCCCTCCTCCCTGACATAGTGAAGGTGGAAGAAGAGGAGGTGGCGCAGGATCAGGTGGCGCAACTGTCGAACAGAACGGCGGTCAAGAAGAAGGCTTCTCCGTGTGTGGTGCGCCGCTCACGCCGCCTCAAAATTCTGAAGAAGTGAAGATGGGCACAGTTGCTGAAGGAGGAGGAAGCTGCTGGTTATCTTAAGTTAGGTATGTTGTTATATGTTTCAACATATAAGTTAACATTATTTTGGGTTTGATGTTGGTTAGGTATGCTTTTATATGTAAGCATGTAAGTTATGCAATTTGTACGGTTTGATCGGGTTCTTTGTGGCTGAAGAACTGAATATCTACTGCTCACCCTAAGTGCCAAGTTCAGTTAAATTTCTGAATATTGAATATGTACTGTTGCTTTGCTTCAGTGTTGCATGGAAGCTGCTAGATGTTGCTCCTATGTTACAACAAGACAATGAACTGGGCTGCTGCATAAATCAGTAGTGTTGCTAGGTGATGTGCTCATGTGCACCACATACCAAATATAGAACATGTCAAAAGTGCATTGTCTGTCAAATATAGGACATGCCAAAAGTGCATTGTCTGCCAAATATAGAACATGCCAAAAGTGCATTGTCTACCAATCATGATGGCCCCATGTTATTTATGCTACAATCTCTGTTACACTTTGCCCATAAATTGAATAGCAAATAATTCAGCAGCATTTCATCATGTCAATTACAATGATGTCAATAACTTTATGAACAATCTACTTGCTAACTATGACAGCAATCATAATGGCAAGCATGCCAAGATACAGAAGACCTCCAAATCCTAAAATCATATCCCTATAGAGCAATATCTCCTTGTGCATCTTAACCATTGCCCTCTTTTCTTTCTCATTCCTTTTAATTTCAGCTTCATATTCTGTAATCTCAGTCTCCAGTTTCTTGTTCTTCATGGCAAGATACTTAATGACTGACTTTGCTTTGCTATCCCACTCCCCATCAACCCATTCAACATACTCAGAAGTGATATCATCCTAATTAAATCATGAGCAATTCAAGTCGTTTTATAACTGAACTTGTCGCTCCAAGCGTTAAACACTGAACTTTTTTGCAGCTTGACCGCAATAGCAATACTAGTTTGAAGATCATGCTCACTAGACTAACCTCAAACACACATCCCCCGAGTGTGCGCTGCCAAAATTGTCTGCATCTACGCAGACACGACCATTAGGAGTTTCCTGATGACCACATAGATGGAGCTTGTCATGGCCACAGGTGATGAATTATGGGCGATAATGCTGGGATGTAAAGAACAACGGTAAAGAACTTACCTTTTTGCCACCAAAGTGTAGCACTGAAGAAACCCTAGCATTGGGTTCTCCCGGCCCGCCGCCGCCCACGAAACCCCCGTCCCCTGTTCCACTTGATCCGCCGCCGCTGCCTCCTGTGCCACTGAATCCGCCCCACCTGCTTGCAGGACCCAGGGTTCGACCTAACTTGCGGTCGCCACCGCTCTTCTCGCCGCAGCCGCAGCCGCCCGACGCCCAGCTCACTGTCATGCTTTCACCGTCGAGATTTGGAGGCGCAAATAGAGAGGGAGGGCTAGGGATTTGGAAAGGGAAACGAGAAAAGGGGAAAGATCGATGTGAACCTGGCAAAATGGGCTGGTGTAGCGCTGCCGGGAAGATAGCCCGCCTGTGGGGCCCCTCATGTGGTTAGATGGGCCATGCCTGGCATTATGGTGAGTACACAAAAAGTTAATTATACATATAATAAAAAATGAAGGGTTTGTAAAACAAAATATAAAAACATGATGGCTGATAACACGCGATAGAGCCAACGAGCTGACATGACTAATTTTGATCAGTGTAATATTACATTTTGGCTCGATATATTTACTTATCTACCATGACTACTTTTCATAATCATGTGATGAGGGGGAATTACTAGGAGATTATGCAAGATGATGACATGCAGATAGCTAAGGCAGAAGGCTAAGCTTGGTAGAGTTTTAAAAATAGTTAAGATTGTGAAAATTTTAATATGAAACTTACGAGAGCAGTTGAAGAGAAAAATAGACTATTATAAAAAATGGAGAACGAGAAAAATATTAAGCAAGAACACTTGATAAGTGAAGCCGTGAAAAATATAATTATAAAAAATTGGAAACAAGAAAAATATTAAGCAAGAATAATTGATAAATGAAGCCAAAACTTTATTGGTACGACCAAATTGTCTTCTCCGAGCGAATGTTATGACCGAATTGTCTTGTACGAGCGAATTGTCTGATAGACACATACACATGCATGTGTCACAATATTCGAGATGCCCTGTTTATTACATAAAAATGATAGAACCCCTAAGATAATCATGCCGTCGAAACCTTTGACCAGACTAAATCCAAACCACTAAAACTTCAATCTTGCATGCCGCATGAATTCTTCAGGCGCGCCTCTTATTCTTCACACACTCCATCGAGTTCGAAGGTGACATAATCAACTCTGCGACGAAACGTCTTCTCCTTGCGTCAACGGCGGCCTGCAAAAAATGACATAAAGGTTACATGAACCGAAGTTGCTACACCACCATAGTAGCTAGTCTACAAATGTAAATAACAGCATACCTATGTAAAAGTGCGGGTGATTCGGTCCCCATCCCAATTTTCTAGACATTCTGTGACAAAAAGGCCACAAGAGTTCCTGGTACATATGCAAACATTAGCGATGGGCAATACGAACATGTGTGTTGTTGTTTGATTGTGCATGATGTCCTATTAACTCACCCATCCTCTTGCTGGGGTATGTCATACTCCTTGATAGGCCACTTACTTACGTCCGGATATTTCCCTGGTGTAATAAGATTTGCCTCACGCATATCGTGTGCTATAGCCATTCGCTATAAAGAGGATAGTGTTAAAGAACAATCATAAACAATATGTAAGAGCAATGGTACAAATGTTGGTTACATTACCAGTGCTTTAACAGTCCTCTCAGTCAGCTCCAGAGGATAGAGCGAATCGAGAACTTGGAATTCTTTCTTGATCATGTGCATGACCACGGTCATCCAGTGGCTATTGTCGATATTCAACGCGATATACGTCTACAGTGCAAAAAACCATTATGTATCAAAAGAAATACTTGATGAACTATCCTGTAGTGATGAATCACAAACATTACGTACCTTATCACGCACAGTATACTCTTTCGTGACTCTATTAACTGCTCCAGCTTTGGTCAGAGCACTATCCATGTTGCAGCTCAATGGCAATGGATCGTCATGTGCGATAGCACGATCTACAAGGAATTTGGACCTCCACGCTGGACAGAGGTAAGGATCATGACCAACACGCAGCTCCAAATGTCCCATATAAGCATCAATAACCTGCATAGAATATCAATGCATTACATGTTGAAAGTTGAGACATAGATTATTGAGCATTTAAAAAACAGGACATGCAAGTACTACTTACATCGCCCGACAGCCATCTATGAGCTAGTACTGGTAGAATCCTTTCGGAAGTCAGAGTTATGCCACGCCCTTCACTGTAGTAAATTTTTTTGTTCTTGTTCTTCTCAGTGCTAGCAGCTAACTCGACAAATGAAACAACTGCA